AAAAAACCACTAATGATTTTTCTTTTTTACAAGTACACCATACAAGTATAAACAGAGTCCCAAAAAATAATTTGTTTTAGAATTCTCATAAAAACACTGCAACCATCTCATTATCTCGAAATACTGATAGTCATACCATATCACATATCCACACATGCACAGTAACTAATGTCATAAAATATCGTCAAACCCAAACCCTTGAGCAAAATACCAATTCTTTTCGTTAGTTACTCGAAAAAACCTGACTCAAACATATCTTAAAATATTCAGGTTTATTGAAAGAACTCAATGTTAAACACTTCACAATCTACAAAGCTCTTTCCAGACGAACAGCCTTGTGCTTACATTAAAATGTCATAGTATAATCAATTGAAATGGTAGGTGTGGATCTTCTTAATATTTACACTCACATTCGTTCGTAAATAAACAATTGAAAATTCGAAGTCGACTGCAAACTTCAAACATGCAAAGTACTTTTTCGATATACAGGTGACACCGATATATAATTGTCCTTTTAGTATGTTAAGTTACTAACAAGTATGTTTTAATCTTTGTTTGAACTTTCTTCATAGACATTGATGTATATCAATAGTGTTGTCTTATTAATTACTGCTTATCGGCTACTCTTAGCGCTATAGTCATTAGCTAACATTGATTTTTCAGAAAATTGATGATAATTAATGAGAATATAATCGATTATGATTGATGTCTAATAAAATTACTGATAATCTACTTGCTTGAATTTCCATATGTATATGTACTGATATCTTTTCTTTTATCTTCATAATGAAAAAGTTCTTGCTTTCAAGCCATTTTCGCCTTAATGACAAATATCAAATGTATGGTTGCTGTTATAAAGACTATTTTTACATTATTTAATAGACCTTGAGCTGCTGATCACGAAAAGCTACTTTTAAGCCTAAGTGAATGTTTCCTTCTGGTTGAAAAATACGAAATACTCAAAGGGTGTCATTTTCTTCAAAAAAAAACATCTTTTTCAAAATGTGCAAAATTTTCTACTTCCGACTAAAGACCACAAACTCTATTGGTGGTGGCGCTTCGAATCGCGTCGAGTGAGATACGTATAGGTCGATTTTGTAAACCTATGTAGTTTTTTCACGTAAGTGATGAAGTCAAATATCTTATCACATTCGATTCATCACACTATCAGTCACAAAGTTACGTATCCTTTTTTTCCTTTTCTTTTCTTCGTCAAGAAAAACCGTGTTTATTGTGTTTTGGCCCAAATAGCTAGATTTCTGCTCTTAATTCTCAATTTTCTTCGCTAAAAATTGGACTTTATATAAAAGGATTATCATATCTGGAATTAGCGTAAAAAATCGAATCGATTGATGTATATCTTAATCGTTTCTAATGATTTCAGTTTTTTTTTCGAGTTTTCACCTGTTATGGTGGCTGAAAATTTCACCGAAAAATCAAACGCGATTAAAAGTGCGGGAATAGACATTAATCGACTCGAATTTTTACGCTGATTCCGAATATGATAATTTTTTTCTACAAAGTCCAATTTTTAGCGAAGAAAATTGAGAATTACGAGCAGAAATCTAGCTATTTGGGCCAAAACGCAGTAAACACGATTTTTCTTGACGAAGAAAAGAAAAGGAAAAAAAAGGATACGTAACTTTGTGACTGATGGTATGATGAATCGAATGTGATAAAATATTTGACTTCATCACTTACGTGAAAAAACTACATAGGTTTACAAAATCGACCTATACGCATCTCACTCGACGCGATTCAAAGCGCCACCATCAATAGAGTTTGTGGTCTTTAGTCGGAAGTAGAAAGTTTTGCACATTTTGAAAAAGATGTTTGTTTTTTGAAGAAAATGACACCCTTTGAGTATTTTGTATTTTTCAATCAGAAGGAAACATTCACTTAGGCTAAAAAATAGTTTTTCGTGATCAGCAGCTCAAGCAGCTCTATCAAATGATATAAAAAAAAGTCGAAAAAAAAATTTCATCTGACTTTTACGATGCAGACACCTTACCCAATAACAACCATTTTTAAGAATACTTACGTCACTTATTGATTATCTTTAGAAAAAAGATGTACTTTTTTATTAAGAATGAATTAGTTAAGTTGAAGTCGACAACAACATTCTACTTGTTGTCTATTGAAAGAAAAAAAGCAAGTGCACATGGTACTTCAGACGAAATGAATTAATAATGACATGATTCCTTCGAAAATCAAATGAAGAGTCGTTTGCACTGAGAAAAAATTTGCGATACGGATACAGTCTAAGTAATATTCTAATTTTTTCTTCTACATGAGTATGATACAGAGAAGTTGGATTATTCTGGAACACGCATTAGATTACACCAAAAATGATACATGCAAAATAGAGCAAAAAAACTTTGCTTCGATTTCTTTGTCGAAATATTTCCAATGCTACGTTTTAATTAAGCCTTCGTCCTTTTTCTACATCGATACATTAGCGTACACATAAATAAATTCGAGTAATAGTATTTCCAATTTTAGCTGAGATCGAAAAGTTTTTCGCTTAGTATTCAATTCCATTCATTCATACGCTTTGCTAATGTAATCTCTGTATATTATAAGTTTCTAATGTAGGCATGGTAGTCTCTATCGAAGTTTGCTAATCCACATCAAAGGTATATGAAGGTAAATAGCAGTAATAATAGTGTCTTATTATAATTATTTGTCTATCGGAAAAAATTCCATACTTTTTGTTAGATACAATAAAACCTCGCTATAGTGGACACCGTTCGAACTTTATAAAAGTGTCCACTATGGGGAGGTTAAGTCTTTTCTAAAAGAGAAGTTTTTTCGAATAAATAGACGCATTTCCAAGATATTTGGAGAGTGTTAATCAATAAGATAACCAGCTCGAACACGTTATTACATATCTTTTCATGTATTATTATTGTAGAAAATAGAAAAATTAAAAATTGTTACAATAATCTTTAATACAGCTCCGTTTTGCCAGTTTCGAATACAGATAAATGCTAGTATCTTTTCTTTTCTGTCATTTACACATGTAATCGATGACAAAAAGTCATCATCTTGTATGTCTGATGATAATCGTCGCGAAATTTCTCTCCAAACTCCTAAATAGTGTCCATCCAGCAAAAATCACGTCGTCGGACTGTCAACATATGTCCACTATACGGGAGTGTCCACTATGAAAGGTTTTCCTGTATTATGTACTTTGTGCAGTAACGCATCCATGAGTCATTAATGTTTATGAAAACACATCCAGCAGATCCAAACGAGGGTTATTCAGAGAGCTATTATGATAGGTAATACGCATTCATAATTGCTTTGCTTTACTAAGATGATTTTGCTTTTATATCAAAAATGCCCAAAGTCTGCTTCATAGTGATTTCAAATTTTCACATAATAAAAATGAACAGAAGTAGAAGAATCTAGGCACCAACCTAACTCCTTTGACTGTATATTCAGTTATGAAAATCTTCCATTATGTAACTGTATCAACTATCATTTGACCCATCATCATTATACAAATTAGCCAGAAAGTGACGACTGTCCTTAAACCATTTTATCAGTGATAACATAGAGCGATTGGCTTAAATGAAATACGTATGTAAAGAAATCTCCTTTCTTTTCTCAATTGAGTCTTTTCGCTATCAATAAAATCGCTCAACCGAATATTCTACTAATGGATAGTATTGGTGACAACATTCTTCAGATCTTTAATCCCATAGTTTCAAAACTTTACATTTTCTTCAGTTAAAAAGAAACACGAATAAACCATTTTATATGAATAAAGTAAACGACAATTTTTCAATGCAATTATGACATTTTCCGTCGAAGAAGTTTGTAATAGCAACACTGATATCATCATATTAGCTTATCTTTCTTTTGATGTAGTTTGTATTTGTCTTTCTCATGGTGTGTGTGTGCACTTGGTTGCTTTCTTTTTTTCTTTTATGCAATATTCAACGTCTTCCATGATACGGAGGCTTATGATCTATACGTGTAAGTAGAGTAATGAAGTAATTATTACATAAATTTATTTACCATTTTTGTAATGCGAATACTATTTCAATTAGTAGCAATTTTTCAGATCGGAATGTGGACATTTTCAAATGACTAATTAACGAAAATACCTAGATAATTCGAAACTATATTATGACGTACTTCTTGATACCTCTTCTTTTGCTTTTTGCTACATCTTTATCATCATCTTCCATCATTTCACCATTTATCTATGCAAAATATATCTTATCTTACAATGATATTCAATCAACGAACGTCTATATTAATATCGAATTTCAAATCAATGAACATATTCAATTTTATTTAAATGGAACACAAACATTTATAATGCCACGTTCTATTCCATCTGGATATAATTTACAATTCTATGATTCATATGTTGATAATTTAATAGCAAAAAGTTCAAGTGGAAATTTTATTACTATCAAAAAAGAGTCAACAGGTGGTCCAAGATGGACATTAGAATGTGCCTCGAATGAGACATTATCAACTATTTCATATTCAATTAATTTAACTAAACATGAACAAGGAATACTAAACATTGGTGATGCATCAAAAATACGCCTAAATCGTTATATAGGTATATTAGGTTATTCGATTTTCGGTTATTTAGAACCAATGGATAAAGTAGAAAATTTTCCTGTGATGTTAATCGTTCAAAGTCTATTGGAATGGCCTATTCATTTAACATTATCACCTAGTAATCAACAAATCTATGGTACTGCTAGCGGTATAGCTAAAAATTATTATCATTTGGCCGATTCACAAATATACATGGGACCAAATATGAATTTCACATATATTTCTATTTCTTATGATAAATTATTTCCATGTTCATCACTTCATCAGACACTAATAGAACAAAATCAAACTCAAATATCATTATCCTTTTATGTAATTATCTATACCGAAGATACAAAAAATTTTGATATCGATATGGTCATTAAATTAAGTGTACAAGCAATGAAAAACTTATTATTATATAACAATATTATCCCATTTTCATTTTATACAGTTGCAATGGAAATGATTAAACCATTAGATGATAAACATACGGGTGGTTTTAGTATAGAACATTTAAATAGTTGTACGATAAATGTTATATATGGTACAATTATTAATAAAAATAGTACAGATAATCAAATAAAAACATTTCAGTATAATATAGCACATCATATTCAACATGCTTGGTTACCGAAACGACTATTTTCAATTTTTTACTATCCATTTACATTTGAATTAACACCAGTTATTGATACTATTTGGTTTAACGAAGTATGTTGGTATCATGATGGATTCAAGTTAGGATAAACTAGTGGAAAAATCATTTCTAGACTAGCTGAAAATTGGCAGAATCTACAGGATGCTTCATAAGTGTTGAGATGCGACAAAATTAGTTTGTGTGCAAATAGAGAATAACTCCTAACTGAATGTTTTATGTGAGTCTTGAGTGCTGGTGTCAGCCTTTCAAATAACAGATTATTGGATGATATCTTCATTGATAATAAGAAAACTATAAACATGAGAATATGAGGAGAAATTTTTCGCAATCGATCAACAAGATATTTTATTAAAATATGAAAAACACTCTAACATATATTAATTTAATGATACAAAAATCTCATTTAACAAATATGTATTTGTTCCAATGGAGAACAAACTAATTTCGATCACTGAAATCAGTTTGAAATCATCTGAAATCATCTGAAATCATGAAATCAGTTTGTTCCCCCTTGATTTGTCTTAGAAAAGTGGAGTCCTCTCGTTTAGATCTGAAGTATTGCCCTCACACCCTTACCATTACAAATGATTGAACACAAAAATTTGTTGATTTTTGTTGAAATTTCTTAGGGTTTTGGTCAATATATAGCCATGGATGCAATGGCTAATGCTTTGCCATTAAATGAATCTTATGAATATCGACAATATTTTATTGAAAATCGTTTTAAATATTATTTTAATTTGGCGCCATTATTTATAAAACAAATGCCATTGCCATATTTATCTATGATTGCATCATCTTTATATTCGAGTGATTTTCGAACAGGTAGTAATTTATATGCACGTGGAGCATTAATGGCTAAAGATATGGATGAATTAATACAGTCAAAAACACTAAAACAAAAGTAAGTAATTATATATGTAGGCAAGATAACGGAATGTAAAAGAGAAAAAAGTTCAGACTCAATCGAAAATATTATATTTGTTGTCTTTTTTTTTGATATTCTAGAAGTCTTCGTGATGGTATAATTTATATGGTGAAATGGTCAGAATCTAATTCATATATTATTCCATTTACAATGGAACAATTTCCTGAATTTTTCATGAATGCTACTAATGTTGATGTTAGTTTAGTGTTAGAAAAATGGTTACAATTGACTCATATTTAACATTTTTCCAATGATTCAAAAAAAACCATAGTTCTTCATGCTTCTTATTATTGTTATTTTTTTTACACATAATATAGCATCGGATTAAATAAAAACGGCAAGACATGAATATTGAGATAGTGCTATAATCAAGTGGAGTCAGTTTATCGGTTCATAGTGTGATAGAAAATTACTTTTTCTAGAAAGAAATTATTAACACTAAAAGTTGAGACTGATATTTGGCAATATTTTGAAACAGCGGTTGGATACCAGTAGTGTCAAACTTGAACGCTGAATTCAAGTATTCAACTATTAGTTCAACTATTCAAGTATTCAAGTACTCAATTAGTTAACGACTGGAATGCCACTAGAATCATCTAATATCGACAGATGTTGTTTGCGAGACTACAAGCATTCCCTATGATGCTACAAGCATTCCATAGGATGCTACAAGTATCACCTAGCATGCTACAAGCATTTTCTAGGACACTGCAGCTTTGGATTGAGATGCTGCAGACATTATCTTGGATGCTACAAGAAGTATGTGAGAAGTTTCAGCTAATGTGCAGCATTGAGTAGGAATAATGGTGTATACAGAGACGTACATGGGTCGCGACGCTGAAATAAAAGGTGTGTTAGGTGGGGAATGCGCTTCCCCACTGAATATTCGCAGAGCACTTGAGAAGTTAAAATTTGAATAGTTGAATAGTTGAATACTTGAATACTTGAATAGTTGAATAGTTGAATAGTTGAATACTTGAATAGTTGAAAACTTGCAGTTATGTCTAAAATGATCGTTTGCAAAACTACGGTTGAATTTCGTCTATATCTTAATTTGTACTATTATCTATACTGTATCATAGTCCTTCTTAGAGAAAAAGAGTATCATGTAGTTGTGCCACAACATCACGTCATTTCGCCATTCTCGGTATCAGAGACGCAACATCGAAAATAGGAAATGTCAGTGATCTCTGTATGAAGACGTGTTTACTTCCCTTATCTGTGCAACTAGTATATGGCAAAAAAATCCGAATGTTTATGTTTAAAATTGCGTTTATTTTTCTTTCCGAAGGCTAAAAAAGATTTCGAGTATTCATACTTTTTTCCACATATTCATTACCACGAATCCATACTTTTTGCTGACACTAACATCGCAATATTATACGTAAAACTCCTATGTGGGTGATGAATGATCTTTCTAGGTAATGAAACCAAAGGAAGACATATCTTCGATCGGCAATGACACTAACTTGTCTGAACGATGCATGCATTCTTGATCCATACATACAAAGATAAAATAGATTCTTTTGACTTGAATAAAATTTGTTCTAATTTTGGGCCGATGAATAATCAGAGAACTCATTCTTTTCTGTACTCAAGATACGTAAGATGCAGTTTCATTCTGCTTGAGGTTAGAAGAGAGAATCTAAAATATTTTGCACTTGATCTATTTTCAAATTGAGTCGCTCTCTAAGGTGCAGTCATTTTTCTGTGTTGTTCTTCATTCATGAATAAAGATAAGCGAAATAAATCGCACTAGATTGTATCAGTGTTTCAACATGAAGGGAAAAAGAACAGATGTTTATCTGTATGTATATAAGCAGAGCTGCTCTTATTCTTGCTGTCATACTTCATACACGATTGCATTATTTCAACGATGCGTTTTCTTCATTTCCTTTTGGTTCTCGTACTCTTCTTTGCTGGTGCTCAGGCACTCGAAGACCAGAAATCGGAAGAGGTACATACCGGTGAGTGCTCTTGAGGTAATGAAATGAAATCGAGATTAGACCTTTCTAGGTTATTGTCCATTCCATCGCATCGTATGCAAGATGGTCTGTTCGCCTACCTTAGCTACTCGGATGTGTGCAAAAGATCCCCAATGCTGCACGCATGACAACCAATGCGCTTCAGACGAAAAATGCTGTCGTCCCGCATGTGGATGTCACAATCGGTGCACGAAAGCTCTAGAAAAATCAAACTGGCCGAATCAGCCATAGATAGTGTAACAACATGTTTTTGATCTTGAATGATTTGTTGCATAACAATACATCAATAAAATAAATTCTAGTGGCGTGATTTGAATTGGGTTTCTAGAAATAATTAGACCTTAACGAAAAACCAAGCTCTTATTCAAGACCTTGAGAAGAAAATTTTCTTCGCAAGTTCTTGGCGAAGGGTGAGCACGCGGATGGAGGGTCAATTGAAAAACAGATTGACCTGTATGTCTAGAATACAAATGAATCTACTAGTCTCAACTTTATCTTTTCAGCAATCGATCTTTGCCGAAACTAAACAATAAATAAGTAACATCTTTGTAAATATAAGAAATGCGGAGTCTTAATTCGGTGACGCATTTTATGTTATTTATTTAAATATGAACACTGCACACAAGTAAGCATAAAAGGTAAAGAGAACAACAGATATATAAGTGAAACACAAAAATCAAAAATAGAAAATAAAAAACAGAAATAAAAACACGAGCGTGGTCACATTGATACAGACATAGAGCCAGATAAGTCGTTATTTTAAGATAATTCATTAAATTAAGTATAATATATTCTTGCCTATCGATATATTCCATAGTACAAGTTTGTTTTTCATAGTACGAACTTGTCTGCGGTTTAATAGGAGCCTGTTAACTCGTGCAATTGGTAAACCAAGATAACCAAAGAATTTCGAGTATTGCTTAATCATTATATTAAAATTCGAATAATTTTGATTAGTTTACCTATTTTTCTATAGTAATCGTCTCGAAATGAAATAAAGAATGTTGATTAAAATGCCAAGTCCATTAATAAGTTATTTCATATGCTGATTCAATAAACCAATATAACTAACAGTGGAGGTGTTTGTACTGTCAGTTAAAGAGATGACACATATTCGCGTCA